CCCCAATTCCCAATTAAATGAGGAGTTACCTAATTAAATTAGGATTTGATCTGATACCTACCACGATTAGGGATTTGATTTACCCAAATAAATCAAATCCCTAATTAATCAAATCAATTCCAAATAGGGGAGGAATAATTCCCTTCCATCTATGGAATTATTCCTCTGAAACCCTAATCTCGGAGACCATTATAAATACTTGGCTACGCACAAAGGTCAAGGTACGTCTAAATTCCTACTGAAACTCTGCAGAAATTATTTCTCACAAACCCTAGCCACCACTTTCTTTCTCTCTCTGACACAAGGCTCCGGCCACCACACACGGCTCCGGCCACCCGGTTTTCCTTGAAATACCCTACCTAACTTAGGCATCGGAGGGCCTTTGGCCAACACCCCCTGGGTGTGGTCCTTTTACCCCGATCTGTTTTGCAGAGAGAAAGAGAAGTGGAGAAGACGAAGGAATCTTAGACGAATATCCTCGTGAGGAAATTTGTACAAACAGTAACTATATATATAAGAAGCTTGCAGTCTCTCTGAAACCAAAGCTCCTTTCCCTATTTTAAAGCGAAAATAAGGATACCCAGTAAGTACAACAAAATAAAACAATTTTAAGAGACTTGTCAATTTCCCAATTTAGCATTTACATAATTTCATTCTTATGTATTTCTTCTGTATGCTAACTGCTCGTCAATTCTATAATGAACTTTCTGGGAGAAATCTTTTTTTCCGGATGGTCCTCAAATAAAGTTATGATTGCCGGGTGTATCATGATTCTATGTTGAACACAGAGAGGTTCATTCTGATATGAAGTCTGTAAAGAAGACTTATTTATCTGCTTTGAAGTTACCTTGCCAACCTCCAAAACAAATAATCGAATCTAGACTATGTATAAAAGGCCCTAGCGATAGAGAAGTGAAGATCTATTGGCCTTTGGCCGTCGGTGTACGATGCCAGTGTTCTATGCAGAAATTTAGTTTAGTTGCAGTTAGGTATTCTATTCCTTGGACCACATCTAGTTTAGTTGTAGCTATAAGGTATATAGACGGTTTTCATGCAACCTTGGTCTGGATGCTTTGTATGTACATGCTAGCTGTGAATGCCTACATGCAATGAGCCCTGCCTTGCAAATATTTTTTATATGAAATCCAAATGGTGCTTCAATTTCATAATTCACTGATTCATAGTACCAGGTGTCTTGCCTTGCATATATTTTCTTGGGGATGTTGAAACTAAATCAACTCCAAACTATTAGTGTTAAAATAGAATGAGGTCAACACTCTAATGACTTTCGTAGAATCAGGTTTTGTATGTACATGCAAAGGACTTGTAACTCAAGAAATCTCCATTAACCACACCATGAAGGAAAGAAAAAAAAAAAAAATTGGCTGTGCCGAGCCCTATTTACAGGATTAATCCATGCTTGAGCAATGAACAGAATTTTACACATGAGGCGTGTAAGAATATACCAAAACGGTATCTGATAGGTTTTACCAATTAGACAGCAGAACTGATTTCAAAATTAGTAATTTAATAAAAATAAAAAAAGCATTCTACCTATGTTAGAAACATAAAGGGCATCATGCTTGAAGCTACACACTACGTCGCCGTTGGATGTAAGTGAGTAGGCGCACATCACCCTTCATATCACTACGATCACCACAGAACGCGCTTCCACAGAGACAATGGAAGGGCTTCATGGGATGGCCACTATCATGATCACAGTCATGAAAGTCGATGCCCTAGTCCTGAAACAGCATAGGCATTTGAAAGTTGGATGATGATGCCAAACACACATTAATAACATATCATATATTGGTGAACCTCCATGGCATCAACCTTCCCTGTTGTGAAAAGGGCAGTCTGCATGAAATAAATAAAAGAAATCATATTTACTTGTATGAAGAATTGGTTCGACTAGTAGTACGAAGAAGATCGAAGGGATGAGATCATTGAATGCTGAAAAATCATACATGATAGTAGTGATGATCTGGGGTCTTCACTTCCGCAGGGATCTCTACCAAGGTAGCACAACATCTGACCGATAAATGTAAAATGTTTCAGTAGAAGATTTTAGCAACAAAAAGAAAAAGTATTCAAGGAGAAGAGAAAATTAGCCGCTCTCATCAATCAAGATATCCAAGAATACAAACCATTCCGGCACAGAATGACATTGAGACAGCTTCAATAAGAAACATGGCTCTTAATATAGAATCTATAATACATACAGAAATAGAATGATGCTCGTCAGTGATGTATAATAACTGTTCGTTAAGTTTATTGCACATGGCAATAACTTTAATTTTAAGTATGCATGCAACCTAAGATAAACGTTAAATAATGAACAAAGAAATTGAAGAGTTTGGATAGGCAGAGTGGCGGAGATGATCACGTTCGTTCACCCCTAAGATGTTAGGGGGTTTCATGAAACCAAATTGGTTATTTTGGTTAGAGAAGGTCAGTTCAATTGATTTGAGTATAAAGAAACTACAACATGTAAAGGGATGCAGTCAATAATTAGACCACTGACAAGAAAATACTTCTATATGAAGGAAGGCTAAACAGCTAAACCTAGAATTTATGCAATCTGAAAATTTCTTTCTTCGAGGAGTAGATAAATGGTGTAATCTATCAACAGAGCATGCTAATCAACAGTTTGAAATGTTCAATAAACCTGAACAACAAAGTGCAACACATTTCCTTCTTAGATGTTAAGATACAAATGTATATAAATGTATACACTGTTAGAATTCTTAGTTTGTATATGTATTTTCAGATTAGGAAGAGATGTATTTTCTGGAGATTTCAGCTAGAGAGAATGAAGAGAAATGAGGAAGGCACTGTTCTATTGAATTCTTACAATCTGCAGCTTACATAGTGTGTCTGACAGAGAGAGAAATGTGATTCTCTTCTAACAGAATTACAACTGTCACCCTATTAGGTGCTTACACATGTCATACCAAATCTAAGCTAGAGAATCCACCTAGACTATGATCTAATGGTTCTCATTACATCATTTAAAATAGACAGAACATAAAATAGAAATGACTTCTGCCTAAGAAATCAGGCAGAACATGACTTCTGCTCTAAGAAATCAGGCAGAACAGGATTATATTTCAACAGTATATGTTCTGTATCAAGTCTCCTACTGCACTGCATACTCAATAATCAAGGGACTTAATAAAACAGAGAACAAAAACATGCAGTGTGCTTGTGTATGTATACACACCATATATTATAGAGAGTAATGATGTTTTTGTTATATATCTGACATGCATGTATGTTACGTCGTGAGATTGTGAATCAAGATTGTGCAATTCCCCAACAAAACATATCATATATGTATAAATTTCTCTTATAAATAGGGCCCCTTTTGAGATACCCTATTCACCAAATGATGCTTCAGTGTACATATCAATATCCTACTTGTTGAAAGTAAATGATCCTCAGAGTGAGCCCAGATTTAAATCAGTAAAACACTGACACATCATTATGCTGCTGAACAAAATTTGGTGGACTTAGCTGTAAGAAGGTTTATTACATTAAACCTACTAAAGTGATCTTCTAATCAACTTAGGATTACAAAGACTTATTGTTTATTAGGAACTCAAAACCTATCTCGATTAGGCAAGCCTCAAACAGTGTTCAATAAGGATAATGAAGGCTTAAGGGTTCCTAGTTCTACAAGGATTGGAATGGATTAATCCTATAGCATGAAGGATATCTCTAAGTGTTTCTTGATGGGCAAGACACTTAGAGAGATGC